GGGATGTCAGCAATGTCTTGTAATGCCTTGTGTCATTACGCAAAAGCAAACACAGTCACGTTACATTAATGACCAGGCTGAGATCATATAACTGACTGGCTATAATTCTATGCCCCCTTGCTATAAAAAACATGACCCTAAATCCTAACCAGCTTTGGAATAAAAGGCCCCACAATTATGATATAATAACAAAGTTCAAGTTATATACAATTTGATTGTTTCAATGCTCTTTGTCTCTCCATTTTCATTTTACCTACTATTTATATGTGGTAGTAAAAAGTCAAGTGGAAAATCCACTGGTATTTTAGGTACAACATTCAATTACCCAACATGTTTGGAAGGATAAAACTAAATATAGTGGAACTCTCTTTCATAATCCCGGTGTTTGAAAGTTAGAACAGTGTAATTGTAATCACAGACCTTTTCCATATGTATTCATGTTTCCCAAATGAGGCCTGGGTAATGATCTACATCTAAATATATGATCAATCATCCCCGATACCACCTGATTTTTAGCTAGACTTGTCTTTACCAGATAGTAGGTACTCAACAATTGCTAACTGTCTGAAGCAGAAATATACTTTCTGTTTGGGCTGTTACTTATCCAATGGGTTCAATAGAGATTTTTTTTTAGTTAAAGCAGTGATACATGCGCAATATATTAGGCAAAACAGCACTAGTAAAAGCAGGTCTGTATGACGCTGTCTTCCTTGCAGACACCATTCATTGTCAGAGGTCTACATGCACTCTTGTTCTTCCTGTGAGTCCGGCAAGGTTATTTTTTGGAGGCTACATAGAGAAGGCGTCCATCACTGAATCATTTCCTTCAGAGCCAGCAGCTTTTATTCTTTTCAACAAGTGGTTAGAGGAAAGTGTTGGTGCTTATTAATCTGTTTCTTGTCTTACAAATGTGCTGATGCATGATTGGTGGCAAAAGTACCCATCTGACAGCTCTCAATGTAATCTACACGGCAGGACAAGATTGTTACACTGAACAGATCTGTTTGGAGTTGTTATTCTTTGTAATTACCTTCATTAAGTGAAAGCATGTGTCAATCAACTTTGAACTTTAAACATACCAGTAATTTGCAAGAAAAAATGCATTTCTATTTCCTATAGGCACATATGGGCTTGAAGATGAGTATATATGTAGATAGGTATATACACTGTATTAGAAACGTATTTCTGTAACTCTCAATATTTAATTACCCACTGGTTTGCATTTGATAACTTTAAATATAAAGTGCACAATTCCAGAGAATTGTCAACAAAGTTTAATAAATAGCTAAGTTATGTACTAGTGTGAAGATAGTTTTTAAATAAAGAACACTCCTTCCCAAATTTCTGCAGTAGGAGTGTACATTCACATTACTTTCAACAACCACTGCTTGCTGGGGATATACATTTGAAAACATTTACTCTATTGCTCTACTGTATTATAAATCGAGCATGGTATTGTAATTTTCTTGATTTGATCAGACTCGTCTGGGTCAGAAATCTGCGGACGAAGTGCAGAGCATTCCACGGAAGTATCCCGAACTTTAAAAAGTTAGTCAAGAAGCGTAACTCATTCTGCCCTTCACTGACGGTTATTAACGGGTACCTTCCTCTCCTCCAGTAACAGATGCCCCCATGCGTTTATTCATTTATTCATTCATTCAACCAACCCACATTTATGAGAATCACTGTGATGTGCACAGCACCGTGAAAAATTAAAAAAAAAAAAAAAAGAATAAGATGCTCAACAGAGGCTTTAAGAAAGGTAAGAGGAGAAAAGCTGTGGAAGTAGCCGCGCGGGTGTCCTGGTGCGGCTCTCCCAGTCTGTGCATGAGGCAAATTCCTTTTCTGCTTCCTTCAAGTGGCCACTTACCTCCACCAGGGGGTGTTCAGGGATAGAAAGTAAAAACAAAGGGGATGGAGGCAGCTTTACAACTGTCCAGTAAACTCGGTCCCTTGTAAGGGCTGGGATTCCTGGTGAAAGTGAGGTTCTCAGATAGCCTGTTGACTTCAGTTTATGCTCAATGCGGGGATCTGGAGATGGCCAGTCCCCAGTCTAAAACCTACCAGCAGCTCCCCAGCTCCCAAAGTGAAAGTTGAGCTACTGTCACCTCATTTGTCCCCTGGAACCCCCCACTGTATCCCCCATGACTCACCGCATCTCTCAGGCCACTGTAGCCCCACATCAGCATTTGGACCATCTCTGCCTGGACCTCTCTTCCCCGGATGTGCTCCTGGGTGTGCCCCTTGGGGTCTGTCAAGTGTCACTCTTCTTTCAGAAACTGCAACCCCTCCCTCTACATGCACTGGCATGACCTCTCCTCCACCCATACTTTAAGATATCGTGTACCTTCTTCTTTTTTTAATTTATTTTTATTCTTATTTTTTTTACTCTCATTAGATATATTATAAAATAGCCTGTACCTTCTAATACACCATATCACTTATTTACAATTTTTATTGTCTGTCTCACCTCACGAGGAGATAAGTTTTATGAGCACACAGGTTCTTATTTATTTTATTGTACATATTCTTAGTTCCTAGAGCAATACCCAGTTCCTAGAACAATAGACGTAGTGTCTACTAAATATTCTGCCGATAAATGAGTATGTCCAGATCTCCATGACCAAGCACAAGCTTGGTTAGGTGGTCTCCTGCACTTAAGCTTTGCTCTTTCCAGTGGAAACACCTGAGGTGAGTGCTGCCAATGCACATAGAGAACTCAGAACAGTGCCTGGCACATGGAAAGCTCTCACCTCACAGGAAGTTGTGATGGGAGGCATGGGGTTAAAATGTATGCTTTGAGCCTTTACTCCACCTTTCCTTCATGTGCAGCCTTGGAAGATGATGTCATATCTAGGTGCCTCAATTTTCACTTCATAAGATGGAGATAGTAATAATATGAACTACCTCAGGCTGTGGTGAAGCTTCACTGACGGAATCTACGTGAGGTGCTTGGAAGAGGAGCTGGTACCTGAAAGCCTCTTATGGGTCGGGTTTGGAAGAGGGTGATGGGGAGCTATAGTGAGAAAGAAATCTGAGGAGAAACTGAGGGCCAGTTTAAAACCCCTCAGTTCCAGGAATACCCAGGAATACATGAAGGAGGAAGAGTGACTGATGGAGATCATGAAGCTTTTTGAACAATTTGAGAAAACTTGACTCTGGAGAGCTGACCTGGAAAAGAAGTGCCCCTGAGGGGGATTCATGGTGGGGTTCTTCAGAGGAAGACATCCTATAAAACTATGGAATTTATTCCAGAACTGAGTGGAGGAACTCACAAAATCTCTTGTGGTCTTTATGTGGGGCTGAGGGTATGATGTTGGGTAGATATTGGGTGGGGATATCATTTTGGATAAGGGTCAATCCCATCCTTCAACTCAGGGTCTTTAAACCATGAAATCCTAATCTCCATGAGAGGGCTGTAACTTCCACACGTACCTGTAAGTGGAGGTAGTGAGACAAATACAGACAACGTCATGATTGACAAGGAAGAGGTGCCATTATAGTAAATGGAAGAAGGGGAAGACAGCAAAGAGCTTATAAGATGCTCAAACAGCACGGGCAAAGGTCCCTGAAGTTTCCATAATTAAGGAAAACATTTTTGGAAGTGATGGGTCATATCTCTCCATGTTATATGGTGACCGTTCTGACTATAATATTCCAATGAACACAGTCTCCTAAAAGTCTACACAATTTTTTAAAAAATATGGTCATTGTAGCATTCATACTGTTCTCTTATTGAAGTACACATTTTACTTTTATTTCTCACAGTTTTTTTCAGATATCATTCACATAACATATCATTCACCCATTTCAATTACACAAGTCAATGGTTTTAAAGTGTATGTGCAGAGTTGTGCAAACATCATCCCTTATTTTAGAACATTTTCATCACCCCAAAAGAACTGTACTCGTGAGCAGTCACTTCCCATTCTTCCCTCCCCCAGGGCCTGGCACTCACCAGTCTTCTTTTTGTCTCTATGGATTTGCCTCTTCGGGACATTTCACGTAAGTGGAATCATGCCATACATGGATACTGCTCCTGGTTCCCTTCACTTAGCATATGTCTTTAAGATTCATCTACATTGAAGCAGGTATCGGTACTTTTTTCTTTTCAGGGATGAATGGTATCTCACCGTATCCATTCATAAATAAAATAAGGTACAGCCATACAGTGGAATATCATTGTTGACGGACATTTGAATTGTTTCTACTTTTTTGGCTCTTAGGAATATTGCTGCTGTGTATATTGGTATACAAGTTTCTGTGTTGACGTAAATTTTTATTTCGCATCTAGGCGTGGACTTGCCGGACCATATGATAACTCCATGTTTAATTTTTTACAGAATGGCCAGACTTGTTTTCAAAGCAGTGAAGCAGTAAAGCAAGGATTGTTTCTATGCTTTGGCCTTTCAACAAGTTTTGATTTTTATCCAGACCTTCTCCTGAGAGCTGATGTATGCAGCCTGAAGCCTCCAGGGTAGCTGGCTTGCCTACCGTGTCATGGGCAGGTGTGTGGGAGGTCTGATGGGAGAAAGTGAGAAAACAAGCAGGACAAGGAGAAGAGAGAGAATGGGAGGAAAAAGAAAGAAGGAAGGAAAGGAAGGAAAAGGGGAGAGAGGGGGAGAAATAGAGAGAGAGAGGAAGGAAGGAAGGAAGGAAGGAAGGAAGGAAGGAAGGAAGGAAGGAAGGGAGACAGTGGAAGCCTGAGAAATAGAGGGTTGACTTGCCCATTTGAGGCTGCCCACTCCTAAGCCTCAAGTTGATGAATGTCTCTTTATTACAAGCTTTGTGAGTAATTCTTGCAAGTGCTCAAGAAGGAATGTGTGTCTCAAGTCCATGAAGAAGGCTGCCCATTGTGTCATCGACTGTAGTCCGTCCACAGGATTGCTCACGTCCTGTGGTGAAGGGCAGATAGGAAAGTGACTCACCTCACCTGTGGCAGTGCTTCTGACTCATATAAGAATCACCTAGGAGCTTTTAGATACTATGGATGCTGGGGCCTCATGCCAGACATTCTGATGGAATCTGGCTGGAGTGGGGCCTGGTTGTGAGTGTATTTTAAAAGCTCCCCAGATACTTTCTATATGCAGCCAGGGCTGAGAACCACTGATGCACACCTACAGATTTTATATTTCAACAAACATTTTTAAGACAAACAACCACTGATGATCTTTTTTTTTTTATTTACTTATTTTATTTATTTATTTATTTTACAAATAGTTTATTGTCAAATTAGCTTCCACATAACACTCAGTGCTCATCCCCACAAGTGCCCTCCTCCATGCCCATCCCTTCTCCCCCCCACATCCATCAGTCCTCAGTTTTTGTCAGCATTCAAGAGTCTCTCATGGTTTGCCTCTCTCCCTTTCCCCCACCACTTCCCCCCTTCTTCTCCCCCTTGTTCCTCCGTCAAGTTCCTCCCAATCCTCCTATACGTGCAAACATATGATATTTGTCCTTCTCTGCCTGACTTATTTCGCTCAGCATAACACCCTCAAGGTCCATCCATGTTGCTACACATGGCCAGATTTCATTGTTTCTCATTGCCATGGAGTATTCCATGGTATAGATAAACCACATCTTCTTGATCCATTCGTCCGTTGATGGACACTTAGGCTCTTTCCATGTTTTAGCTATTGTGGAGAGTGCTGCTATGAACATTGGGGTACATGTGCTCCTATGCCTCAGCATTTCTGTATCCCTTGGGTAAATTCCTAGCAGTGCTATTGCTGGGTCATAGGGGAGTTCTATTGTTAGTTTCCTGAGGAACCTCCACACTGTTTTCCAGAGGGGCTGTACCAGTTTCCATTCCCACCAACAGTGGAGGAGGGTGCCTGTTCCTCCACATCGTCACCAGCATCTAGAGTTCTCTGATTTGCTCATTTTAGCCACTCTGACTGGCGTGAGGTGGTATCTCAGTGTGGTTTTGATTTGTGTTTCCCTGATGAGGAGGGATGCTGAGCATCGTTTCATGTGTCTGTTGGCCCTCTGGATGTCCTCTTTGGAGAAGTGTCTGTTCATGTCTTCTGCCCATTTCTTCACTGGGTTGTTTGTTTTTCTCAGGTGCCCCCAACTTTAAAACTCCTAAGTTTTATGCCCAAAGCATAGAAGTTTTGAATCATGATATCATATACCCAAAACTAATATAACCCTATGTATTATGCTGGAATTAAGATTTAAAAGTTAATTGAAAAATAAATAGTGATCTGTAATCAAAGATTGTTATTAATGGGTAGATGCCAGATCCTCAAATATCATCAACGTAACCTAGTGATAAGGCAAAGATGACTTTCTTGCTTAGCTCGGTAAGTGAGAATGCCACCTAGTCAGAGCATCAGTAGTGTCTCACAAGCATGGCAAAAACATAGGGTCAGATTTTAACCACCATGATGATCTTTAAATGATCTTTTCAGAAGTACATCAGAGCCCCATTATAGCTACTTCTAAAGGACGCTAGTGAATAGAGGATTTTGACTGTGATATTAATTTGCCTCCTTAGTGCTCTCCTTTGGCCAGAAGCTATTCTACTTTGGAACCATGGATCACATCTGTTGGAACCCATGAGAATCTTAAGGTGGAAGAAAAGAATGTCCAGTGAAGTTGAACTAGGTAAGTCTAGTCAGTATGGCATATCAGAAATGGTTAAGCCTGCAATGAGTTTCCTGATCTCCAATTTGGGAGTCATTCTAGGGAGTGATTCTCTTTATCCAGCCATACATTCACACAATACATATTTACAGGGCCCCTTCTGAGCACCTCATACTAATGCAGGCCACTATTGTACAGTTAGTAGCCTGGTCCTCTGGGCTCTCTGACTTTGTTCCCCATGAGTCTCAGTGCCCTTCACACTGCCACCCTAATCCAGGTCACCATCTTCTTCAGCCTACACCTCTGCAGACCTAACTCGTCTCTCTGCCTCTGTTCTTAGCTCCTGGCAACTTATCCTCCTCAAGGTTGGAGAGATCATAAAAAAAAAAAGTCAGACATCATCATGCCTTTGCTCAAAGCTTTCAAATGGTTTTCATCACACTTGAAATCCAATTCAAGCTCCTCGATCTTACAAGACCTCGCCTGTTCCCATCTCTCCATGTCATGTCTCCCCTTCTCTAACTGGCACCTTTGGCCTTCATGCTCATTTTTTCCTCACAGTCTTTGCACTTGTCCTTCCCTCTGCTTAGAATGTTTTCTCCCCAGCTCATCAGTTGCTTTTCTCTGTCATATCCCCTGTGAGATGACAAGCCTCTCTACAGCAAGGACCCTGTACTTGTTATCTGTGTGTCCCTCACAGCATCTACTAAGGTCAACTGCATTTAGGAGGTACTCAGTAAGACACTTGAGGATGTGAGTCGACAAGAATATAAAGAAAGCGACATGCTGGGAAAAAAAAACCCTGCCCAAAGTTCTCTGGAACAGGTAACTCCAAAAAGCCAACTCAGCATATCAGAGTCTGATGTGGTTCTCTTGCTGCTCCGAGAGCTGCAGAGATTTTACGCTTGTGTAAGCAGATCCTCTAAAAGAAGTAATTTTCTCTTTAGGAGAGTAGCAGTACACAGGCTCCGCAGTAAATTCACAGCATTTTACAAGAAGATGAAAGGTGAAAATCATATGAAAAGTAGTAATGGTACACTGGCAGCAACTATGTCTGCATGTTAATGGTATGGAGCCATAATTTGCCCACAATTTCTCTCTCTCTTTCTCTCTCTCTGTTTCTGGCTCTCTCAACGGTGGAAAATGCTTAATGGTCTACACAGCCTGATATAATCCAGTGGGAGTATAGACAGATACATTTTGACATAACACAGTCCTTGTTTCCTTGTTACCTATATTTCTTCTACCTTTTCAGGAGCAGTAGGCTCTACCTCTGTATACATAATGCAGACAATAGTGTGGGACTTTAAAGACAATAGTGCAGACTTTAAAGACATGGCCCATGATGGCCATGGTCACCAACCTCAGATGAAGATAGAGACTGGCAGGAGAGGTAGGTACCATTTCCACCTGTTTTTTTTTTTTTTTTTCTATCTTTGCTCTTTAAAAAACAAAAACAAAAACACCTATTATATTATTTTTAAGTCATCTCTACACCCAACCTGGGGCTTGACTTCACAACCCTGAGATCAAGAGTCACATTCTCTACCAACAGGTGCCCCCATCTTTGCTTTTAATAGGTTTTCCAAAAATACTTTCACCCTATAAGATTCATTCTGCTTACTATTTTGAAGTCACTCTTTATCACTCAAAAATTGTCTATGACTGACCTCAGTGTACAAGGCCAAAAGAATGCATGTGAATTCCAATGGAATAAAGAAAAACCAGTCCCCCATAGTTCCACCACTCAGAGGAAGCTCTTAATAATTCTATATTCCTCTGTGGTAATACTTGAACATTTTAAACTCTTTTCCTATGAGTTTGAAAGTAAAACATCTTCATCATAGAAATTCTGGAAAATGCAGAAGACTATAAAAGAGACAGATGGATAAACAGCCCATAATGCAGGAAGAATTTTTGATAATGAGCATTTTACCATGACACACATAGAAAACAAAAGCATCAGATTTACTGGTTGAAAAGCCCCAAATAAAAAAAATGCAAGAGTATTGCCCTAGGCCTAAAATGAACAACATTTGTAGCCTCTCGGCATTGGCAGTGCCCTCCAGTTTCTGGAAATGCTGGGGTAACTCCTGGTCTGGAGGATGACTGTGGAGTGGCTTAGAGTCACCACAAGAGATGGGAAACAGGGTGAAGGCTAGGAGTGTGTGTGTGTGTGTGTGTGTGTGTGTGTGTGTGTGTGTGTTTGCGGAAGCGACAGAGAAGCAAAGTGGGGTTGCTTACATGAGCATTTAGGGTGGGGGAGGCCAAAGGGAAAAGAGAAGAGAAGCAAGTAGAGCCTCCAGAAGTGGCTCAGTGCAGGTTCCTGAGCTGGTGGGTGTCTCTAATTTGCAGGCTGCCCTTTGGAAGTTCCCTTGCTGGCCCTGAGATCCTGGCCGGGGGTCCTTCAGATGCAAGGGCGCCTTGTCTGTGATCTGGCAGGACTCTTTGTCCATAAATCAGCTCCTCTGCACCAACTAGGGTGCCATCTACCCAATGAGACCAAGATGAAGGGACAGTGGGCTCCAGAGGGTGGAGGTGGACACTCACCCCTGCTGTTTTACAGAGGGGAAGTGGCTCCAGCTCACCAGGTGCTTATGGATGTAAACTTGTAGGAAGAACACTCTCCTGGGAGCTCATCAGGCTTCTCTCTTCTCACCCGGCTCTACTACTGGCCAGCCTTAAGCCCATTATTCTCGTTAGCCTGGGTTTTGTTCTGTTTGTTTGTTTGTGTTTTAAGTGAAATCAATGCCTGTCCTGCTCACCTCTCAGTAGTATTACTATAAGAATAAAATGAGGTGATAAACATGAAAGAACGTTTTTACTATTGATAGTAATGTTCTGTGGCTGATTCCCACATACCTTGAACCTCCCTCCAGGAGGCCTCGCTGGACCCCCAACCCGGGTGAGGTGCTCCCACTTCCACAGTGATTGATCTCTGCCAGATGGATGGACAGTCAGTGTTCTTCTCTGCCTAAGCCAGCGGTTGGGGTCCTGGGTCCTACCCCAGCACCTCACACTGCTGGGACCCAATAAATTGTGGTGGACTCAATGAGCAAGTGCTGCTATTGAGTCATTGCAGAATATAATGCAATAGTTACCGGCTTGCTTTTTATATACCACAACCAGAAATTGAGAGAGAAAGAGAAGAAATAAAACTCAGGAGACTCCAGCTGCTGGAGGCACGTCTGTAGCCTGTACTGGCCGAACTCCACCATAAAGCTGCCATGCTCAGTATTCACTGGGTGGGGATTTTATGCCATGGGAAGGAAGTCTGTTAAAACCTCATGACTGCCACTCTCCTCCCAGACCAGCTCCTTAGGGCCATAGGGAACAAGAAGAAGGTTGGACAAAGCAGGATACATATGAAGCCCCGGATTCGAATCCAGCCTCACCACTGGTCAGCTTGTGGTTCCGGGCACACATCAGTGCTCTGGATCTTTGCTTGCCTGGCTGCAAACGGAGTTGGTAGAGCTGTCTCTGAGACCCTTTGATTTATATTGTCCCCAAACACAAAAACGTGTGAACCCAGCAATACAGACTTAGGCAGCCACCCAAAGAGATGGGTTTTGTTTGCTGGCTAAGATCGGGCAGCAAATAACCTTTTCGTCACAATGTCTGGCAAGGATGAAAACATTTAAGCGAAAGACATGAAATGGAAGAATTGGCGCTGTGTGTGTGGCAAAGTCTGTACGTCAGTGTGTGTGCAGAAGGCTGGACCAAGGGGAAGAGCCACACTACCTGTTCATGGAGCTGGTTCAGCATGTGTACCATACTGATAATAAAGTAAATCACAGTGTGTGTGTGTGTGTGTGTGTGTGTGTGTGTGTGTGTGTGTGGCAGGTGGAAAAGAGTGGAAAGTTGGTGGGGAAAAAACCACTTATCTTGTTATAGGTACATTTTCATTTGCTATTTTCAGTAAATTGCTTAAGATGTGATGTATTTTTCATTACAACATATTTGTAGTGTGACTGACTATTGTCACCATCTCCTGCTTTGTCACAGTAGTTCCTAACTCAAGGACATTCTCTATTAAAATTGTAAAGTTATCCCTGAGCACATTGTGTGTTATTATGTTGCTAAGCTCTTGGCCTTATTTCATTTTAAATGAATCTAATGTAGTACCTGATATGCTTATTATACTGATACTATCTTTATTTATTTATTTATTTATTATTTTTAAATCTTTATTTCTGCAAGAGAGAGAGAGACAGTGTGAGCAGGGGAGGGTCAGGGAGAGAGGGAGACACAGAATCTGAAACAAGCTTCAGGCTCTGAGCTGGCTGTCAGTACAGAGCCCGACATGGGGTTTGAACCCACGAGCTGCGAGATCATGACCTGAGCCGAAGTCAGACACTTCATCGACTGAGCCACCCAGGCTCCCCTGATATTATATTTAATATGCACTTTATGTGTACTGAAAGTGTAATACAATATATTTCTGACTTTATAGCATCGATAACTCTGCATTCTAAAATTGGTAGCGTGCTTCTCGAATCATAGAAAGAATATTTTCCAGAAAGAAATAAATTATTTAAGATTTGGATGGATGAAAAAGGTAGTTTGTATATTCTTTAGTATTTTTCATTAAAAGAAGTTTTTGTTCATATGTAGTTCTTGCAAGATGATCTTGTTGGTTCCTGGTAATGTTCTCATTCCTGCACCCCCAGCCCTGCCCACTTCATCATTTATTTAGTAGCTAAAAGTATAATCCTCAATTGAATGGAAGGTGTTTCAGATCAAGGCCCTGGTTATCTAATAATCAAAAGAATGGTTGACTTTCCTACTGTGCCCTCCTAAAAAGTCAGTGCCTATTTTGGAGATTAGAGTGATTCGTCATACATAGAAACTCTTCATTATTATTCTAAAAACTTTTTAAAAAAATAGATGTTGTGGATCAAGAAAGATCCACAGATCTTTGTAGTCTGTTGTAGACTGAGAATTGCATCTGAGTATAAAAGAAAAAAAATAAGTCTTTTCTCTTGTAACAGTGTTTAAGACTTATATAGAAAAAAGCTTTTTCCTTTGTTTGAAGAGAACAATAGCAGAGCCCTCTGCTGGGGATGATTTATCTCTTGCTAAACCACCTTAACTGTTTATGACAGCAAAAAGACAGGTATCATTAACCTTAGGTGTTGACAATTTAGAATTCATGAGAATGAGTTGGAAATACGATAGACGGTCCCACCCCTGAGTTTGTGGAAAGCAGATGAATCCTATGAACCACTGCCTCTGATTCCTTCTGTTACCACAAAAGAGTTCCCCTCAAATGTTCATAGAGGGTGTTTGGTTTTTAATGTCCCTCTTCTCTGAAGTTGAGGTGAAAATTGTTTTTAGGAAAAATGGATCTATAGTCCAATCAAAGTATTTTCCAAGGTCCTAGAATCAAGTTTACTAGTAAATCCATAATTTACTGAACCATTTTACCTTTCTTGTAAGTGATTCGTGTATAAATTAGTGATGAATTCCTGATTAATTTATTTTTGCTGCTGTTCTTGGATTTTAAAAGCTTGCATTCCCCAGGATCACCCTCTTCATAAATACCTTCAATAAATTTCAGCACAGAATGATGGCTCATGCTCTTTCCTCCTTTACAGGATGATATAATCGGGCATTCTAAGGCAAATAAGAATCCGGTGACCCCAAAAATGTACCAGATTAATACCCACCAATAAAAAATGAAGCGTTGCTGGAGTCAATACTCTGCAACTATTTTTTCCTTTGGACATACATAACGACAACATGAATTTGGGGTAAGATCTGATCTTATTGTGGCATGCATTAATTCACATTTGAAAGTCTTTTACATGTATTTATTATGGGCCTATTGCTGTAAGACATAAGATCTACTTAAAATCTATTGAGAGTATTGATTTTTTTTTTCTTCAGAAAAATCAGCACAGTGAGATGGTCTCTCTCCTCTTATAAAGCCCATTAGAGAAAAACAGAATTGTGTTGACATAAAAGGAGAATGCTTCCTAATGTACATGACTTATTGCCATGGTTCAGAGGACTCCACTGTCATTCAAATCTAATTAACCGATTTTGTCAAGCTTGTGCTCCAGTCCCTGTCTACACGGTGATCACACCTCTATCAACATAAACTCCCCTGCTTAGTAACCAGAAGTGGCTAAAAAGGACCGATAAAAATATAACTCTCTTAATGCTAGTGATAATATTACATCCAATAATGCCATGAAATGTTTGAATTTCATTGGGGCAGCTTTTTTTTTTTTTTGTAAAGATAATTTTCAATTACTATGAGACTGGACTTGAAGAGTGTATGATTTCACTGAAATGTTTCAGTAAAACTTGGTAGATAAA